TAATAGGAAACCGACGGAAAACAATAAGGTCTTCCGAAGGAAGTCGGAAGACCTTAATAATAATAATAATAATAATAAGAAACAGAGTAAAAACAATATGTTCCCCAACTTCGTTTGGGGAACATAACTAGTGCTAATTGTAACGGGGACCGTTACAGATGTTCCCCAAACGCTCCCCAACTCCCTTTTGGTGCCATATTCCCTGTAAGCTTCATTAAATAAGACAACCTCTATGCATCTGAGATTTTAACAACATTAACAAAGAAGTGTACAAAAATCATTTAAACTTTAGCATTGCACGCGTGCACATGTGAATGCATATGCGTCATGACCATATCATCTTGTCTACACAATCTATATTTTTAATATACTGAATATTAAAGTATTTAATCCAAAATTATAAAAAAAAAAATTCGCTCATTCAAGTGTATGTTTGATTTTTCTCATTTCACGTGCACGCACGTGCATACATGAGCATGGTGACCATACCTTCTTGTAGAAGTCCATTACATCTATCTATGTTCTAAATTCCACCCCGTTTGGGTGAAAACTAAGGGAGTTATAGCTGTTTAAAGTTTCAGCCAATCAGATTGCAGCACATGTACACGCACGTGTATGCATGTGCATGGTGACCATACCTACTTGTAGAAGTCCATTATATCTATCTATGTTCCAAATCCCATCCTGTTTGGTTGAAAACCAAGGGAGTTATAGCTGTTTAAAGTTTCAGCCAATCAGATTGCAGCGCACGTGCATGCACGTGTTTTCATGATAATTGCTTTATTTCATGTTGTAGGATATCCCGATGCATGGCTATGTTCAAAATTTCAAAGGATTTCGTCAAAAAACAAGAAAGATATTGAGACTTTAGTTGCAGCCAATCAGAGCGAAGTGCACGTGCATGCGCGTGAGATCTTGCTATTTTCACCATGTCGTCATGTCTATACTACTAATATATCCTCACATTATGAGTTTCAAAGCATTTCATTTAAAAATAGAACAGTTGTGGCTATATCTATTATATTGCATGGTCATTTCACGTGTTGCACGTGCACGCTCTTGCAAGCACGTGCGCGCAAAATGACCTTGATTCCGCAAATCTACATAACATGTCTACTAACCCTAAAAAGGTTTTACCTACATCAGACGAACAGTTTACAAGATCATTCCTGGACAAAAAAGTTCCAGGAAGAAGAAGAAAAATAATAATAATAATAACTAGTGCTAATTGTAACGGGGACCGTTACAGATGTTCCCCAAACGCTCCCCAACTCCCTTTTATAGTCAAGTTCCCTGTAAGCGTAATTAAATTAGACAAACTTTATGCATTTGAGACTTTAACAACGTTTTCCTAGAAGTGTACCATGTTCATTCAAATTTTATTATTGCACACTTGCGAATGTGAATGCATGTGCGTAATGGCCATATCATTTTGTCTATACAATCTATATAGTTTAAATATGCTAAATATTAAAGTATTTAATCCAAAAGTATAAAAAAAAACCCGCTCATTTAAGTGTATTTTTGATTTTACCCATTTCACGTGCACGCACGTGCATACATGAGCATGGTGACCATTCCTTCTTGTAGAAGTCCATTACATCTATCTATGTTCTAAATCCCATCCTGTTTGGTTGAAAACCAAGGGAGTTATAGCTGTTTAAAGTTTCAGCCAATCAGATTGCAGCGCACGTACACGCCCGTGTATGCATGTGCATGGTGACCATACCTTCTTGTAGAAGTCCATTATATATATCTATGTTCCAAATCCCAACCTGTTTGGTTGAAAACCAAGGGAGTTATAGCTGTTTAAAATTTCAGCCAATCAGACTGCAGCATAAGTACACGCCCGTGTATGCATGTGCATGGTGACCATACTTTCTTGTAGAAGTCCATTATATATATCTATGTTTCAAATCCCATCCTGTTTCGTTGAAAACCAAGGGAGTTATAGCTATTTAAAATTTCAGCCAATCAGATTGCAGCGCACGTGCATGCACGTGTTTTCATAATAATTGCTATATATCATGTTGTAGGATATCGTAATGCATGGTTATGTTCAAAATTTCAAAGGATTTCGTCAAAAAACAAGAAAGAAATTGAGACTTTAGTTTCAGCCAATCAGAGCGTAGCGCACGTGCATGCGCGTGAGATCTTGCCATATTGACCACGTCATCTTGTTTATACTACTAATATATCCTTACATTATGAGTTTTAAAGCATTTCATCAAAAAAAAAAAAATTACGGCAATATACATTATATTGGTCATTTCACATCATTTGCACGTGCGCGCTCTTGCAAGCACGTGCGCGCAAAATGACCTTCGTTCCGCAAATCTACATAACATGCCCACTTACCCTAAAAAGGTTTCCCCTTAATCGGATGTGTACTTTACAAGATCATTCGCGGACAAAATTTTCCCGAGAAGAAAAATAATAATAATAATAATAATAAGAAACAGAGTAAAAACAATATGTTCCCCAACTTCGTTTGGGGAACATAATAATAATAATAATAAGACACAGAGTAAAAACAATATGTTCCCCAACTTCGTTTGGGGAACATAATAATAATAATAATAAGAAACAGAGTAAAAACAATATGTTCCCCAACTTCGTTTGGGGAACATAATAACAACTATTGTAATTTCTCACCTTGGTGTGACTGGTTTACCATCACCCCCCACGGGTGGAAACTCATCAGCGTTGCCGAGACTGAACACCGGGGCAGGGGAACATGATCTCCGAGTTCCTGATTCAACTGAATGACGTTTCTTGTTTCCAGACTTCAGGTTAGTTGGAGCAGGCGAGGGTGAGTTATCATTTGGTTTATCATTTCTTCTTCCTGATGAATATGGAGAATTCTTTCTTTTGTTTGCAGTTGTACACGTAACTTCTGGAGATATAATGAACTCTCCAAGACTGAATCGATGTCTAGATCTACCATCTTGATTATTTTTACTTCCACTATGTGGAGTAGTATTTCTACTACCCTTAGATCTATGATCTCTGTCAACAGAATTACCAACTGCAGATGAGAAATTCTGATTCCTCTCAACAGAGCCATGAACCTTAGGAGTAGATTTTTTGTCTTCATTTGTGGGAGTGTTCAGAGTTGGGGGATTAACATCGACTGATGTGTTAGGGGAAAAAAATGAACCACTTGTAGGTTTAATGTCATCAATTCCATCTCCAGGACTGGCACCAAACAACTGAATTCTCTTAGAGGAGGAAGAACCTTTCTTTTCATTTATGCTTTTCTTTAACTTCTGGGCTGAGGGGGTTTTGGCAGGGGAAGGGGTTGCTGATTTAGAACTCTGAAGGAGATGTATAGTTTGATCTCGAAGATAATTTAAAAAGAAGGGAATAAATTCTTGATGAATATGTTGCAACTCTGCCAGTTGTTTTGGAACATTTTCCTGAAATGAATCACTTTTGTAAATACATGTATATAAAACATTGAAATATATTGACAGATTTTATACATCATTTGTATCGAACAATTATGAGAAAAGCAGTTTCAGAAAAAAACACTATGCATTGCATTAATTTTTTTCTATTTACCAGCGAAATTTAACAGAACTATTATATACAACGATTTAAATGGCAATACCAGGTGATGAGGTAACTACATATGTAAAAAAAAAAGTTGCAACTGCAAACTTTCTGAATTTACCCCTCTCCCTTCTTTAACGGAGGCATTGTGAAATGAAAGCGTACCTTAGGTACAAAACCTGGATCACATAAATCTCGTTTCAGGAAAGTCACCAAGGCATCCACCAGCAGTTCTCCACTCAGCACATACTCTAAAACAGTTGCCATATTTTATTGACCATTCTTTTGTATTCCCGCCATTACATCCAAAGCAATGTGCTTCCGGTTTGTGTATTTTAGACAAGTCGTGCTCATTTACACTTCTGTGGTGTAAGCTATTTGTTTAAAATGTCATTTTCTTCTGTATGTTAAATTGTTTGTAGGCATATTTAGTTGATTCCCATGGAGAGAAAAAAAGCATGACTATTTAAAAACCTTATCTAAAAATATTATATTTCCGGAATTGAAACCATTATTTTGACATGTCTAAAATTACTTCATCTTAAACTATTTCCGGTTTTGTTTAATCCACATTTTTTCTAAAAAGACTTGTTTGTAAATAAAATTGGCAATAAAAACTTAACATGGCAAAAGCCAAAACGACATCAAGTATTCCAGATGAGTTAAAAGAGAAACTAGCGTCCTTAGACACAGCATTGACACAGATAGAAACTGTTTTTCAACCTTTGCTCAAAACAAATCAGTCAGAGCTTTATGAAACGGTAAGATTTATTATTTAGGGAAGATTACAGCTTTTCTAGGTATTAATTTTATTACTGGTCCTCAAGAAGAGTCCAATATTTATGAGAATGTCTGAGTGATAACAATGTGTGACAACCAAATTAAAATCTAGGATGTTAACTGTCTTTGATTTAACACTTCATATTCAAACAAAGTTTTTTAAAAACCTTTTTTCCTCATTATATTATTTTACAAATGGAGGTTTTCATAAAAATTTTACAAACTAATTGTCAATGAAGTAAGTTTAGTCAACTTTAGTGCTACAGTGAGGTTGCCGTTATCGAATCACTTAGTAAATTTGCTTGGATATTTCGTACCTGAGTTTGAGTTAAATTCATTTTACAACATTGTTTGGTGGTACTATGTTTTACTTATAACATCATATATATTTCCCCAATAACCACTGATTAAATAAAAAATTATCGCTGTACTTGTATGAATGATGTTTTCTCCTTTACCGGATCATTTTCTCCATTACCGAATCACGTGACATAAAGCTGATTATTCTGGTTCGGGACCGTGTAAATTTAAAAATACCCTTATTACGTAACGTTTTACTATGCCTTAAAATAATTTCAAACCCCACCCACCACCCAAAAAAGTAGAAAAGCTAGGAATTTTTTGAGTTGTTTGCATCCGACAATTAATGTAAAAACAACAGCAATGAAATCATAGGGAAAACAATTGACTAGTTGATATAAGAGGACGTAAAAACTTATATACGTGCATGATGAACTGCAAACAGCCGAAGAATTAATTTTTGATTCAAAAATTGTACTCATTGAGCTACCACACCCCCTTCCCATAATTTTGTCGCTATTTAGATAGAAAATAGATCGCTAGATATATGATTGTGCCCCCTCTAAAAAAAAAAAAAAAACGTCAGATGACCTTTTTATGCTTGATTAATTAATTGTCAAGGAATTTTGGTGGTTGATAGTGCCTCCTCAACTGAAAATGTATGGCTCTGCACCCCCCCCCCCCCCTTCCCTACCTACCAACAGAAATTGCTTCCTACGAGCCTGGCTTCAGAGATACCTAAAGCTGAAAGGAACAATTATATTTTCAAAATGTCGAGACCCAAAAACCTAAATTTCCTCCAATGAGTAGAGACAACTTTACAAATAATGATGTTGGGATTCATTTGCTGGATTTCTCCATTCCAATATCCACAGTAGACTAAATACCAGTATACCGATTTATTAAATACTGGAGGTTGTCCTTTCACTTTATATGGGTCTACTTCAACTGTCCATCGTCTCTATAGAAATGACTAAGACAGCTCATTCTCCTCTAGCTGCTTTCATAGTGCTCTTTCTCCCTTTTACGTGAAGACAGTGGTGGCATATATTTCATATAGACAAAAGGCTGCAGTCTGCATATCATTTTCTCAATATGTAATTTAAATCATATGTTTACTAACTATAGTATATGTTGAAAAAAGGGGGGGTATCATAATACTCTGTTTATAATTTATTTAGCTTGATGTTGAATTGAAAAAAGTATTGTTAGCAATATGCATTTTATATTATACGAGCTTGATCTTGATCATGACAAGAAATAAAAATTTATTGGAAATATTTTTTTAGGGAATAGGAAAACTGCAAACGGGGTATTGTTGGAAATAATGATTTAGTAGGGAAGTTTAAATTGCAAAGAGATAAATAAATAAAATTTCTAAATCTTAATTTTGTTTGGTAATCATGACGATTTTTATTTGGCTATCGTCGATGTCTTCACATTAGCTTACATGCACATATATCACCGGGAGACATTCTCGAATCCACATGCTCTGTACTTCTTACTGATTTTGACTGCTGATTTTGTTTATGTGTATTATAACCACCTTTATTGTACGCTTTTGGTAGACATCTTCTGTTTTTTTTTTACTGTAACTGGTGTGCAAAAAACCGCATACGAAAAATTATAATTGCATCTCATATTTCTTGAAACAGTGATTCGTTATTGGAAACCTAAATACCCCCAACTTTAAAGCGAATACTATTAATTTCTGATTTAGAAATTGTATGACGCTTTCAGTGCTTTTAGACACATAATTTTATTAAACATCTGCACCAAATTTGTTTACCTAGACTGTACGATTCACATTGGAGCGGTACCGAAAAGTGAAAGTAGTCTGCTTGCATGTACGCTTCTGGTCAGCGTCACTAAAAAGCTTGTTCATGTTTATTTAAATATTAGGACATTAAACGAGTTGAATTTAATAATTTCATGATATATGATAAAAGCAAGAATAATTCAGCATAACAGGGCAGGTTAGGCTAAGTATTGGACTTTGATAAGAAAAATACAGAATCTTCATCTGAAAGTGATTCGTTAACGGGTGCGATTCGTTATTGGCAACCTCACTGTATATCTTTCATACAGTAAAACTTGTTTAGTTATATAAACAGGAATTTAGGGAATTCACAGATATAGCGAAATTTTTGGGGTCCCCGGCAAAAGCCTAATCAATTCTTTGTAAAATTTATGGTTAAGTTGAACTCCTATGTATAGAATTTATGGACATAGTAAATTGATTTTGAATCCTGTTGAGGTTAAATGTAAGGAAATTTTCATCTTTTATCGTAAAATGAATTTTCGGAGATCTGAAAATTTAATAAATTGACTTTAAGATAGACTTTATTTTCATGAAGTATTTGTACTTAAAATTGAATTCATTAATTAATCATTAGTTATTCAAGAAATGTTTTGGAATAATTGCTTTTCTAAAATATTTGGTATTAATACCTGAAGGAATATGTGCATATTGTAAATTCGCTGTGTATATATATAGTTATACAAATTCGTTAGAAAGATATATATATCGAATTATGGATATAGCGAATTAAATTCACAGGTCCCCAGGACTTCGCTATAACCAAATTTTACTGTACTTACAAAGCTGCATTTTTTTTAGGTCAACAAATGTATTAATTGACACTGAAAGTGATATTTAGGTTTATAAATGAAATGATTGATTAAAATTATTGAATTGATTATTGAAAAAGATGTAATAGATCATATATTTAATAAAAATACACTATTTTATGACCCTAATATCTCAGGTAGTATGAGAGAACTAACCCAAATACCCAATTTGGTCAAAAGTATACAACAATTAACCTTCATCTTTTGAAACAATACAAGACTAACCCTAACCAGTCAGTCATTCAAGAACTGCTCTTAATATCTCAGAGGTGCAAGACTAACCTAATCAGTCAAGTACCAAGTGGTGTGTAAGACTTTTGAAATTTTATCATAGTGCAATTTAATACATTGATCTGGGAATCGGTATTAGTAGTCTACCCACTTTCAAGTTCTTTATGTGTCAATATTACACTGACATTCAAGCTTGTCTAAATCAAATGCACACTGATATCTTCAAACTGATATAAATGAAATATTATTAACTTCTCAATGAGCCACTTTAAAATTTTGCCAATAAATATACAAACTTTGCTTGTTATGCATGCCAGTTTTCCTGATGCCAATATCCTGGTTAATAAATTCCGCATTATGTGTCTTCCATCACAGATATTTGACCTTTATCCAAAATGACAAATGCATTTTTGTGATACCGGGGTAATAACTTTGTTGTCATGAAAACTTTTCTTAAGTTGAGTTTTTTTTTTCAATTATATCTTGAAAAGTTGTAAGAGTCATTTTGTAGAAAGACAAGTAAAAGAGAAATAACATGATTCAGAGCCAACTTGGTGTAACAATGATATAAAATTCAGTTATTACCTTGATAAAAATTGTGACTGCATGTTTTTCTGACCCAAAAATGAAGAATGCTTTGAGCAAAGCATTCTTCATTTTTGGGTCAGAAAAACATGCAGTCACAATTTTTTTGTAAAATAGGAAATATATACATTGTACACAGAAAAAACTTCTCTAATGATAAAATGTTGAGGCATCCCCTCTGTACATGTATTTAAGGGGATAAAAGATGATTCTATACTTTTTCCAGATTAGTGCAATGGAAAAAGCAAAATTAGAACTAGCAGGAGCCTACTCTATAAATTCATTATTCTGGGGTAAGTCTTAATTCTTGTCTAAAATGAGCTTGTATATTATCATGGTCCTTATGAGTCAGCTATGACACAACTTTACTCTTCTCTAGTTCATGTGTTGTAAATTACTTTTCTTTTCAGTGTACCTTAATATTTGTGGAGTAAACCCCAAAGAACATGGCATAAAACAAGAACTGGTAATGTTTTTTTTTTTTCATTTTCATGCTTTGTTCAGTTCTGTATTTTGAAGTGTTGCAACTCTTCCACATTTTAAAGTATCATTTTATGCAACAAAGTGATGTAATCTGTGAAAATTTCACCCCTGACATGGTGAAAGTATGTCATAAACTTCTCACAAACCTGTATTTTTTTCTTTATTTTTAAATCGAGTATTTTGTAAGTAAGGAAAAGCAAAATACTTATTTGTATGTTTTATAAATAAAGTTGCCTTTTAATCAATGGCATATGACATTCAGTATCGTTAACATTGAATTCTGAAATCAAATGTAATACCTTAATTATATATTTATTTTATACCTCCTCCTTCCCACTGCAAATTTTTGGGCATAAATATATACTGATTTGGGTGTGTATATTTCTGGCAATATGTCTTTTTTGTGCAGATAGAAGGATGTATGAACTGAAGAATGAATAGATGGGAGAATGGAAACTCCCATCATTAAATACCCACCACTCCTATCCACAACTTCTTTACCCCAGAATAAACTTTAATGATTCTTTATTTCATAGTGTCCTTTACTTTATGTCTGACTTTTGTTTCATTTGTTTGAACTTATAAATGGTATCTCTGCTTCCAGGAAAGAATTAAAAGTTACATGGATAGAGCAAAAAATATCCAAGACAAAGCAAAAGCTCCAAAAGTAGACAAATCAGCCTCAAAGAGATTTGTGAAGAGTGCCTTATGGAAAGCTGCTCAAAAACAGACAGACAAACCAAGTACTGAAGATAATTCTCCTGCTTCATCATCTCAAGACCAAGATGGTATAAAATTATACTCTTCCTTATAGCTTGTAATTTCCTAGACACCTTTATGGATCTGAATTCCTGTAAAATCATTTTATAACATTCTTGCCTTTCTGTTGTCTGTTGTAGTAACGAAATTTCCATAAACATACATAATATGATGGTATTTCAGTGCTATTTGCGCTGCTTCTTGTCTAATATAAGTACATACTTACATTTGATTAAGTTTGATTAAGTCTTAAAGTCTATTTAAATTCTAAGCGCACTGATTAATGATTGCACTAATGACTTGAAGAGAACGAATGTGCTAAATTTTGAGTGTTCTATATTTTGTGTGCATTTACGGTATTCATTATTACCAAAAAATAACAAAAATGAATGCTATTTTATATATCAAGTGCTGTTACCATGGAAGGGTTAGAATATACATTCATATCAATTTTAATTTGATACATTCTATACAGCATTAATTTCATTTTTGAAGAAGTAAAATGTAGGATTAACAAGAAGTAATTTGTAAGCAATTTTGATTGTCTGGAAGGTAGAACATTTGGAAAAGTTACATGTGAATGTTGATACCACTAGTAATCTCCCAGAGATCTCTCAAAGATCTCAATGTTTTGACTCTACAAATCAGTTTCACAACTACACTGTATCTCAAAGGTCAAATCACGCATCCCACCATCTTATAGATTTATCAATGATCTTTGAGAAGCGTTTTAAAGAATGCAAAATGTTTTAAATGCCATATGACACAGATGTCTGAGAGATCAATGAGAAATCATGAAGAGACTAGCTGGGCTTATTTGAGATTGCCAAAGACATAAAGATTAAGGTCCCATAAAGGATAATTGGAATTTTGAAAAGATCCCTGAGGCTTTGGGGAGATTGCCATTGCTAACAATATCCTCAGTTATTATCACTCAACAAACACATTAATTATGACATCCTTTAACATTATCACACAAAAACTGACTTTCTGAGCTTTCAGAGATTGCTGCAAGATAAGAAAATTATTAAGCACCCAATTCTAATGAAAATCAATATAATTAAGTAATTATTTGTGATTTTTCAGCTCCGTCCACCTCTACAGCTGACACGTCCTTCAGTGAAGAATCCAGGACGACAGAACCCCCAGCAAAGAAAAGGAGGAAAAGATAACACTTAAAGGATGTTAAACTCTCTATAATAAGTCGAGTTCATCCAATGAACTATGGTGCTAATTTTGAATGACTGCTTACATACAAGTAATAAGTTTTCATGTTCATAGAATGGAGGAAGCTGTAAGGACACTAGGCAGGAACTTTTTATCATAAGGTGTTAAACTGAACAATAAAGATTTCAGAAGATTAACATTTCATACCTGTGTTTGTTTGATACCTTTTAAAGCTCTACTGGTCAGAGAAGTGATAGTAATGTGTTCATTGTTCGCCTGTCTGTCTGTAAACAATTTTTCAAAATGCTACTCCTCCCACAGTTTTGGTCTAAATTCAATATAGCTTGGCACTCAAGTAGACTACACAATTAGATACATAATTCTGTACATGCATCTGTTTTTTATTGCAATTCAAGGTGTTGCCATGGTTACTAAAAATAAGAAATTTTTGTGAAATTCTTTCAAAAGGCTACTCCTGCTACAGTTTTGGTCTGATTTCAATAGAACTTATCACACAGGTAGACTACACTAAGGTACATAGTTCTGTTTATCGGTTTTCCGATTTGATGAATGGTGTTGTCGTGGTCACTAAAAATAAAAATTTCTGTGAAATCCTTTCAAAATGCTACTACGCCTACAATTTTCATCTGATTTCAATATAACTTGGCACACATATAGACTACACAAAGATACATAATTCTGTTTATTGGTTTTTGATGAACAGTGTTGCTGTTGCTACTAAAAAATAGAAATATCTGTGAAATACTTTCAAAAAGGTCTGATTTCAATATAACTTGGCACACAAGTAGACTAAACTAACATGAATTTAAAGCTTTTCCGTATGTATTCTTATGTAAAAATTAGATCACCCATTGTGGCCTTATCATAGCCCCAGGAGTCAACATTAGAATAAACTTGTTTCTTCACTACCAAAGATTTTTAAATGATGCCATAAATTTTAACTACATTAATTCGTTACAGCCTCTCCTCTGAAGAAGTAGGTTGCTAATGAGAAGTTGAAAATGTGAAAATTTGTGACCGCGTACGTAGCGTAAATTAATACCACACAGAAAAAAGTACTTCTACAGTATCTCCCTTTGATTGATGATGTATCCCCTCATATAAACTTGAATTCCCTTTACCCAGTGATACTTTTTGGCAAGTTTGTCCAGTGGTTCTGGAGAAATAAGTGCAGAATGTGAAAAGTTTACAGAGGGACAGAAAGACAGCTATATGGACAGACAGACCACAGACAAAATGTGATAAGAAAAACTTACTTGTATTACAAGTATTATATAAAACAATTTTTTTTAAACTGGAATAAAATTCTTAACATAATACATGTACTAGTAAACAGTAATGTCAAAAGTCAAAGTGATATTCAGATGGCCTTAAAATCGGATGATTTTTACTAAAATCTTGTTTTCAAGAACAACAGTATCAATGTAATAAAGATGAGCATTGTGGCCCCATTGATTTTAATATTTGGAAGCATTCAATTTTTAACAATATTCTTTTTTTTTTGAAGAGGGC